GGCGCACAGAGACCTGGGCACCCCCGGCACAGTTCCCACACTGCTGTGGGAGCCAGGGAGCTCCGCCAGCCTGGAGAAAGAGAGGCCGGCCGAGGGGAGAATCCACCCGGCACCCTTTTCGGGAAAGGGACCCCTCGCGGGCCTCAAGCACACAGTGGAGAGAATGCAAGGGTCACAAGGAGCTTGTCTGTAAAACACACGGCAGTTCCTGGCCCATGAACTGTGTTCCAGAAGCAGCAACTCCCCAAAAGGCCTTCCGAGCAGCCTTCGCACAGCTGGGGGCTGGGTCTGATGCCACCCACCCTCACGCCAGGTCCAGACTGATGACACCCAAGAGGCTAGACAGAAGGCACACACAGCACACTCTGTGTGCACACTACAGACTCCTATGCATCCTTCAAAACCTTGCTCAGGCGACACCTCTGTGAAGCTGTCCCTGACCTCTCCCTCCCTCAAAATCCTCTACACCGCTGCTCTCCTCGCTGCCGTGCGATGGGCCTGAGTGTCTGCGTCACGCCCCCACCCTGCCCACATGAACAGCTTGTGGTCAGGAACGGAGTCCCAGTCATCTTTGCGTCCCCAGCTCCCGCACAGAGCTAGGCACAAGACAGCACACAAGACGTTCTCAGTGGCGGCTGCTCATGGGCTTTGAGAACAGAGACTTTAAGCAAAACGCCCGCCTCTCAGCCTCAGTCCCCCTCCTATGCAAAACAGGAGGGTTAGGAACAGAAAGTGCACAGCCCCAGCTGGGCTCGGTGGCTCAGCCTGTAATCCTGCACTTTGGGAAGCTGAGGTGAGTGGACTGCCTGAGCCTGCGGGTTCGAGACCCGCCTGGGCAACTTGGCGGGACCTCATCTCTACAATAAACCCAAAATTAGCCGGGCGTGGTAGCAGGCGCCTGTAGTTCTGGCTCCTTGGAAGGCTGAGGCGGAAGGATCGCCGGAGCCCAGCAGGTCGAGGCTGGGCGACAGTCTGGGCGACAGAGTGAGACTCCGACTCAAAAACAAAAAAGAAAGTGCAGGGCCCTGAGGGGTGGGGGGCTGTCCTCATCTCTGAAATGGGAGCCATAACGGTGGCCCCAGCAGGACCGAGGCCCAGGGGGGCACCCACCGGGTGGATGCCGGCCTTGGCCTCCTTCAGTCCTTACTGCCCCTGCCCCCATTTTCCACCAGAGGGCACAAGAGCATGTGGCCTGGGGTCCCGTGCTCAAAGAGCCCCCAGTGTGGCCGCCAGAAGGAGAAACGGGCCAGGCACTGCCTGCCGAGCACAGGGACTAGGACAAAATTCCTACTTCCAGCCCCCAGGACTGGGGAAGAGCCTCTCCGACCTCCTGCAGGTGCCTGGGCCGTGCCCGCTCCCCTCCCTGCCACCTGGGCACTGCTTCGCCACGCTGTGCCCTGTCCCTACCCTGGCAAGGGCACCAGGTGGCTCTCGACCGTCCCCTGCCCTCCGTCCACTCGTGGCAGGCAGGGCCTCCCCTGTGCTGGGCGCACAAGCAGCCCCTGAAGGACACGGAAGCTGCAGGTGCCCAGGGGAAAATCAGGACACCTGAGCGGGGTTTTGAAGCACAGGCAGGAGCTGGGTGAGGGGGCGGGCCGGCTGGCACAGGCCAGGACTCGCGCTGTCTGCCCAGGGTGGGACCCGGGGCAGGATGCCCGGACAGACAGTGTCGCCGACACTCACCACGCACTTGCCACGCTCATCTCGCTCTGAAGCAAGCCAAGGAGAGCCTCTGAGAGCGTGATGAGGGACAGGGACACGCAGAGGCCCGGCCGCAGGGGCAGGCGGGTGCAGAGCCAACAGTCCGGGAAGCCTTATCGGAGCCACCTCTCCTCACCTCCTGTCAGAGCTGTCGCCACGTCCTCAGCCCGAGGCCAGCTGTGAGTGGCACTGAAGAGCCAGGGAGCCCCGCCAAGCCCTCCGACAGCCCCATGCAGCAGGCAAGCCCTGGCACACAAGCGAACCAGGGGCGCCATCAGCACGCGGCCACCGACCTCAGAGGGGGAAACAAAGGGCCCCGGCCAGGCTGCTTTGAGCGAGGAGCGGTTCCCCACTCACAGCCTGCCGCTGCGCTTCAGGACACCCAGAGCCTTCCCTCTCAGGGTACGTGTCCTCTTCTCCTGGGACAGGTGGCAGGACACACAGCCCAGGCCATCCAGTGAGGGGCGGCAGGAGCTCCAGCTGCCCCAGCAGGGCCCAGGGCACGGGGAGGAGGAGGCCTGCAGCCCCCCCGGGGGGGGCTCTGATCCCCTCCTTCCGGGGCGGCCCGACCCCCGGCACTGGTGGGGACACAAGCCCCCTCTGAATGGCTCGGCGGGGGCCAGGGATGTGCATTTCCCTGGGCCACAAGAAGAGCAGAGTCCAGAGGGCCAGAAGGGAAGCCCCAGGGAGGCAGGGGTGAGGGTCACGTTCCCGACAGCCCCGTCCTGGGTGCTGGGCCAGGCAGGACAGCCGGGGCCCTCTGCCAGCCAGCAGCACCCGTCCCTGCTGCAGGAAGCGTCTCAGGACCAGCAGAGACGGGCCCACCCCGGCCCTCACTCAGAGCGCTCCCAGCGGCCCTCCCCGCCCCCACTGCACACATGCAGGGGGCCTCGTCCAGCACGTCCACCTCCCAGGCGCCCCCCACCTGCGGCCGAGACACCCAGAAGACCGTCGAGACGCCCCAGGCTTTCACCTTCCTCATGGTCTCCTCCAGGCACCTGCCCCGCCGCCGCCGCCGCCGCGGGAAGGGTGGGCTGCAGAGTGAGCCCCATCCGGCAGGGCCGCCTGCCGCGCCTCTTCCTCCCAGCGGGGCCTGCGGTCGAGCCCCGCGGGGACAGGATGCACGCCCCGTGCCCTTGCATCTTTGCACGGCCGCTCTCAGGCACAGACACAGATGGTGGGCGGCTGGGAGGGCGGCGGGCGAAGGCCACCGTGAGACCCCCGGCTGGGCGGCCCCAACGCAGCCCTGCGGGAGACAGACCCGCGCGAGGCGAAAGTGAGGAGGGGCCCCTGGAATGCGCCAAAGAGGGAACTCTGCCCCCTACCCCCGACTCCAGGAGCTTGCCTCTGTGACTCCCTACACCCCCCACACACACACACACAACACCCCCCCCTCCCCACACACAGCTCTCACAGCAGCCGAGCGGGGGCATGGGAATGGGGGGCGGGGAGGCTGTGGCCAACGGCACAGAGCCGGCCTCCCGGCCTCCCGGGTCCTTCTGCCCTGGCGGAGGAGCCCCTCTCAGGAAGACAGAGGCGGGGTGCCCGGCGGCGGGCCTTGCCTGCCACGGGCTCTGAGGCCTGGCAGGGACAGGGCCGGAGACGCTAGGGGCGTAGGAGGACAAGCTGGCCTGAGGTGGCACCCAGGCAGGAGAAGGTGCAGGGCCCTCTGCCTCCCGGCTCCTGCCCGGCATCTGGTCCAAAAGGCCGGGCGGCTGTGGTGCGGGGAAGTCTGGAATCCCCCAGGCCAAGGGTCTGGCCTGAGGACGGTTCTGGAGACCCCGCGAGGAGCCATCACCGGGCCCCAGTCCCCACCCTGCCCAAGCCCCTCCCTCAAAGGCAGGCTGCCCTGCTCCCAGTCTCCCAGCCACCCCCACTCAGCTCCTGCTGGCACCTCGGCCCGCTCCCACTGGCCAGGCAGAGGGCCGGGGCAGCCTCCGCCCGCCTAGGCACCCCACGGGGGCCCCAGCAGCACGGACCAGGGGCAGAGAGGGAGGGAGGTTCTCAGCCCACGGCCCGCTGCCGCGCTCCGAGTCCCCTCCTGCCTTGTTGTAAAAATGCAAGCCTCAGAAGAAGCGGAAAGGATGGCACGAGGAGCGGCCAACACCCTTCACGCCGATTCGCAGCCGGCATTACCACGTGGCCACTCGCTTTTCTCTGCATAGAGCAGTTTGGTTCATTTGCGTGTTTGCCAGGCCAGCGGAACGTAAGCTGCAGACAGCCTGGGCTTCATCCCTAAATGCTCCAGGGTGTTTCCTAAGAACAAGAGCACTCTTCCAAGTACCCCGAACACCACGAGCACCCCAAGACACCTGCTATGTAGTCCGTGTCTGAATATCTGCAGTTGCCCCGCAAAACGTCCCTTCCGCTTGAGTCGTCTGTCTTTTAATCCGGGATCGTCACGGCGCACACACTGCTCTTGACGGCCGTGTCTCTCGAACCCCCATGCCTATGGATTACTTTTATTTACTTATTCTTGTCTTTCGTGACATTGTCAGGGTCTCTTTCTGTTGCCCAGGGTGGAGTGCAGTGGTGTGATCATACCTCTCTGGGGCCTCAAACCCCTGTGCTCCAGGGATCCCTCCTCCCACCTCAGCCTCCTGAGTAGCTGGGACTACAGGTGTGCACCACCACACTGGCTAATTTTTTTATTTAATTTTTTGTGGAGACAGGGTCTCACTAGGTTGCCCAGGCTGACATCCTGTCAAGAGTACAAACTAATCCCTTGGAGAATGCCCCATGCTCCAGATTAATCTGACAACTTCCTTGTGGTTAAGTTCAGGTTAAACACGGGTTTGGCAAGAGTACTACAGAGGTGGGCGGAACCTACAACTGCATGATATCGGGAGGGCCCTGGTTGGTGAGCTAAGCTTGACCCCTCGGTCTGAGTGTTTGGAAATAAAGGCGATTTTTCTCATGGTAACTAGTCACCTACAGGGTAATCGCTGTCACCGCATGAGTGTCCAAGGCCAACCACGGTTGCCCAGCGCCCCTAGCATCCATTAAGACTTTGCTCCTCAAAGTGGGGTCCGCAGACCAGCTCCATCAGTCATCTGAGCGCCTGGCAGAGAGAGAGGTTCAGACTTGCTGAGCCAGAGCTTTCACTTTAACGAGCCCCCCCACCTCTGCATACTGAAGTCTGAGAATCCCGGTGTTACCATCTTGGCAGATCCTACTGCCACCAGACACCCTCCACGTGACCCGGCATTCTCTAGAGACCAGCTTCCCCTGGTCTTGCCGTCGCAGCGAGGGCAGCGGGGAGATCACTAAGACTCAGGCCTCATTCTGCATCCCCTCTTCTCTTTGATGCTCACATGCCCCCGATGCCGCCAGCGGAGACTCTGGACCTACCCCCAGCGTCCGCCAGCGTCTCCTTACTTTCTGGCACAGCCCAGCCAGCACCTACCCTCGGCCAGGCCCACAGCTGCTAGGGGGCCTTGCTCCTGGGCTTTGAATCTTTTCGTTGTGCCCAGGGCTACAGATTCCGGCCCCTACTTTAGAGATAAGAGGAGATGAGCTGAGGCACTGAGGATCTGGCTGAGCGGCCAGGGAGGGGCAGAGCCAGGACCCTGTGGCTTCGTGGTGGCCGCAGACAAGCATCGCCCAGACCCGTCTGCTGTGGGACGTGAGACGGGCCCCAGCAACTGCTCTCTGGGCCCATCACCGGCTGCCACAAGGCCACACTGCCCGTGGGGGTTGATGCTTGGCCCCAGGCTGGGGACTCCCCAGGGGGCGGCTTCAGCAGGTCACCTAGCCCAGGAAAACTCCTCCTCTCCCTGTGCTGGAAGGAGCCAGCAGCTTCTTCAGAGTGGCCCCGCTTAAGCTGGTGGAGGTTGGCGGTGCTCCTGGTGATAAGCTAGGCCTGGCCAGCAGACCCAGAGCTGCGGCTGCACCCTCAGGCTGAGTGGGAAGGGCACCCAGGCCTGTGACCAAGAAGAAAGGGCTAGAAGGAGGAGCTGGCCTCCCTGGGCACGGTAGGAAGGAGGCAGGGACCACCAAGAAGCCTCGGAGGAGGCAAGGAGCAGAGCAGAGGGGAGGCTGAGGGGGGCTGCAGAGGAGGAGCCCAGAATGAGGAAGGAGAGCCGGGAGAAAACCAGAGAAGGGGAAACCAGCCGTGAGCCCAGGCAGCAAGCCGGGCTGCAGCCCAGGAGAGCCCAGCACTTCTGGGAGCAGGGGCCGTCCCACCCCACCTCACATTCCCAGGGCTGCCCCGGGGCGGGCCTAGTCCCCTCCTGCCACACCTGGAGCCTCGCCTCCCCAGGCTGCCGACCGGCCCTCCTGAGGCGAAATGCTGCCAGCTCAAGGTGGAGGGGACCCCTCCTCATCAGACTCCTGCTGGGAGCCCCGCCTCTACCCCCACCCTCCAAGCGACACAAAGCCCACGGCCCAAGGCAGGACCTGGGAGGGTCGTCTGTGCCAGAACTCACCTCGAGGGACCCCTTGACTCCCCTTGCCTTCAGGCTCATATCCCTAGGCGGCCCCAAGGTGGTGACTCTCGGCCCCATTTTGCAGATGAAGAAAGGGAGGCTCAGGGTGCCCACCTAGCGAGGGAGTAGGAGAGCCAGGACCCCAGCCCCAGGCAATTCCAAAGCCCACGTTCAACTTGGGGTTCTCACACGGGGCACGCAGACACGCAAAGGAGCAGGCAGCGTGTCTGGGGCTCGCCGCCGAAGATTCCGCTCTAGCTCGCTGCGAGCCAACGATGCAACTTGCGAAGAAGACACTCACGACAGGACCAACAAGGCATCTTAGGGACTCGAGTAAAAAGTTTGCAGGGATTTCTGCCACCAAGGACCAGACTGGAGAACTGGCTCCAGGCTTCTACTGGCCTGCCGGGGCTGAACACCCCCCCCAGGAAGCGCCAGGCCTCGCCCCCACGTGGGGATCTGCCTCTCGAACAAGTCCTCAAGCTCCGGAAGGAAGCCGCTGTCCCCGACACCCGTCCACAGAGTCGCATCACACCTTTCTGCGGGCCCCTGCTGAGAACGGCTGACCGTTCAGGAAACTCGTTGGCCTCTCTCCAAAGACCACCGCTCTGGGCGATCATCTCCTTCCTCTTTTGAGTGATTTTCCCTTTCCCTGGTGAAACACCGGCGAGAGCAAAAGGAGGTGTCGGGTTTTCTAGTTTGCCCTCGCTGACTGAATAAAAACTTGGCCACCCACGTCAGCCCCGAAACAATGCCTTGCAATGTGATCGGTGGGCCAAAAATCGGTACAGAGAACCGGCTGCCCGGCTGCCCCTGCCGAGCCCACACGGCCCTGGGGCCCCTCCCCATCTCAGTCCTGCCCGCGGGCAGTGAACCCACTCCTGAGAAAGATGGGGGCTGGGAGAGGAAGTGGAGAGGTGGCGCCTCCTCCGCCCTCCTCTGTGGACGCAGCTCCGCACAGGGAAGAAGAGTCCAGCAGCCGCCCCGGCCGGGCCCGGCCCCATCCCTCTCCTCTCAGCCTCCCAGGGTGCCTGAAATTCCAGCCAGTTCTGCAGAGGAGCCTGTGGCTCGCCACCAGGGCGGGGCCACCCGGACCCCACAGGAAGCCCGAGTGGGCTGGAGAGGGCCGAGGGGGCCGGGGGCCATCGCAGAGCGTGCTGGGATCAGGCGGCAGGGGCCAGAGCCTGCTGGGGTCCGGCTTGGGGGCAGGTGGGGCGCTGCGGCGGGGCCCGGGGCAGAGCAGGAGGAAGCGGCACTGGCGGGCTGCCCCTCCAGAGGCATCCAGAAGCCAGAAGTACCTTTCAGATGCTACGAGGAGGCCGGTGTTCCCACCCGAGCAATGGAGGCTTAAGGCTAGGAAAGACACAAGCTAGACTCTGCCCACGGCCACAGCTGCCAAATCCGTGGCCACACCACCACATGTCACGGGCCTCCTGGGGTGGAAGGAGTCCGCCCAGAGGGGCTGCCGACTGAAAGGAGAGACACGGAGCCCCTGGGCCACGACTGGCTCCCCTCCCCCGGGGCCACCCACCAGGCCGCGCCCGTGCCATCCACCATCGGGAGAGGGTTT